GTTCTTGAGATATTTGTGATCGAAGCTTTATTATTCTTAACTAGAGATTTCTTCCGAATAGTTATCGATAATTATCAAGTTGCATTGTGGCCGACACTTGATAAATATTCGAAATAAATCTGTAATTAAGGCAATGATAAAATTCTTAACCAGCGCAAGTGGTTAAAGCGTCCCCGACGTTTGAAACCGATATAAAACAGTTGAGGGTTGTAAGGGGCCAAGTGTTTATTCTTTCTTGACTCTCAACGTTTCGGTTCCGCGTTATTCTTCGCCGTGATTGGAAGAAACGAGCCGAATTTTATTTTTTACCATAATTTCAGGTATTGCACTACAATTGTATCGTAATTCCTTATTTTTCTATCTTTAATTAAAATTTCTATTGCATTGAATACAAGTGCACAGTGTCTACAGCACGATCTATCGGCGATACCCCGAACTTCGCCGCGTGGCGCCATCTTGGGGTCACCGAAACTAGCCGATAGGTCTGAACGGTGAAATATTCGAGAAAATGAACATAACCTCGCTAAACTGCACCAAGCAACTTCGGCACTCGCGAAAGCTACGAAAGCACAGTGGGAATTCAAGCATTTCGCAGAAGAAACGCAGCGAAACGTATAAAGTGTCTTGTCTCCCTTTAGAACGATCGAATTAATCACTCGAACAGCCAAACGCTGTCCGGTCGTTTAGTAATTTCTAAACACAGCTGAATCGTTGATCGTCACGTTTGAAGTTACACGCAATTGTTCTGAAACCGCATCCATATCCGCTTGCGGATGGAACAAGGCATTCTTGTCTCGTTTTATCGATATACTGTCCACCTAGACGAAACGTAACTCCGTTCAGCTAGAGACGTAAAGAAAGACGTAGTTAGACAGCGTACGACGTTCCTGGACGACGAGTCAGGAGACAATCTGCCATCAGGTTGTAGCCGTGGATCGGTGGAAACGCCTGGAATTCAATACCCCTCTGTTCCTTCGGGGGATCCAAATATGGAACTCGGCAACGACCTTTGTAGGAAGCCATAGTCGGCGCTGCAAACACGAAAGTACCGCGTGTGCCTTTTGTCTGAACAAACCGATGAAATCTAAATGAAGGAATCACTTTCTTCTTTCCACCATTCTTTTCACCTTTTTCTCCCACCTTTCCCCATTTTATCTTCCGTTTATTACTTTTTGTCGCCCTGTATTAGGTTCACAATCGCGTCTCGACTGAGACCCAGAGCCGAGTGTTGGGTTAACGATCGATAAAGGCCTGGTCGATATCTGTTACTTCCGTTGATACGATTATGTTGAACAAGCGTAAGAAAAGATTAATTGTCACGGTGATAGACAGGTCTCGAAGCTTTAGTCGACTTTCCATTCTTTGCGCGGACGTTTTTGCGTTAACGAGAAAGGAGTCGTGACTCGCGAGCGATTATGCAATATGTTCGTAAGACTAGTTCCGTCGAATTGTCCGAATTCTTGCAAAATTCTTGCCGGATCAACGTGTAACGGCGCGAGGGTTTCATACGCGCTGAGAATCAGGTAGCAGGCAATTCTAGTAAATTGCCAGAGTGCAATTTTCACACTGTTTTATCCATTAAGAATTTTTCCAAGTTTATCGCGTAATAAGCGAGTACTCGTAGCTAGGTTTGAAATTATATGCAACTATACAAACAGAATTCTATTATATAGCTAATATCAATTGTCCAAGTTTACACCTGGCGAGATACAGATCATATCGCCATATTTCTAGATATACCATGACATTCCTAATTTTCTATGTGAATTACAACACGAATATAAATACTTTCGAAGCTTCTCGCCATAATTTAGGTTTAAATCTGACGAAAAACAAAGTTATAGGTGAGATATCTTCCGAAACGCAATGTTCCCAATCTTTCATCTGAATTCCAGTTAAATAGATCTAATTTCGATGTTTGGTTTTATCTGACCAAGTTCAAAACTGACGAGAAGCGAAGACCATATTGCAAAATTTTTAAAAACTATGACATTTTCAATTTTTCATATGGATTCCAATGTAAGTATAAATGACTTCGAGGCTTCTTTCCACAATTTAGGTTTGAATCTGGCGAAAACCAAAGTTATAGCTGAGATATTTTCCGAAATGCAATATTCCCAATCTTCCACCTATATTCCAATTTTATAGATTTTATACGAGAAACGAAGACCAAATTGCAAAATTTCTAGAAACACCATGACATTCTCAATTTTCCATATGAATTCCAATCTTTATATAAATTCTTTCGAAGCTTCTCTCTACAATTTAGATTCAAACATGACGAAGAACTAAGCCATAGGTGAAACATCTGTCAAAACGCAACATTCTCAATCTTCCACCTATATTCCAATTTTATAAATTTAATACGAGAAACGAAGACCAAATTGCAAAATTTCTAGAAACAGTATGATATTCTCAAATTTCCATATCCATTCCAATTCTAATATAAATACTTTCGAAGCTTCTCTTTACAATTTAGATTTAAACCTGACGAAAAACAAAGTTATAGGCGAGATATCTTTCGAAACGTAATGTCCCCAATCTTTCACCTATATTCCAATTTTGTAGATTTAATTTCGATGCTTTCCTCATTCGACCAAGTTCAAGACTGACGAGATACGAAGACCAAATCGCGAAATTTCTAGAAACACCATGACATTCCCAATTTTATAGATTTAATTTCGATGCTTTCCTCATTCCACCAAGTTCAATACTGACGAGATACGAAGACCAAATCGCGAAATTTCTAGAAACACCATGACATTCCCAATTTTATAGATTTACTTTCGATGCTTTCCTCATTCGACCAAGTTTAATACTGACGAGATACGAAGACCAAATCGCGAAATTTCCAGAAACACCATGACATTCCCAATTTTATAGATTTACTTTCGATGCTTTCCTCATTCGACCAAGTTTAATACTGACGAGATACGAAGACCAAATCGCGAAATTTCCAGAAACACCATGACATTCCCAATTTTATAGATTTACTTTCGATGCTTTCCTCATTCGACCAAGTTTAATACTGACGAGATACGAAGACCAAATCGCGAAATTTTTAGAAACACCATGACATTCCCAATTTTTATATGAATTCCAATACGAATATAAGTACTCTTAAAGTTTCTCTCACCGATCCAGGTTCAAGTCTGACGAAAACAAAGCCATAAGCGAGATATCTTCCAAAACGCAACATCCCCAATCTTCCACCTGAATTCCAATTCGGCACCTTTAACTTTAATGTTTTCCTCGTGTAACTAAATTCAAAATTGACGAGAAACAGAGACAGAATCACGGCATCCCTCTAAAACACCGTTCCGAACTCGATGTTTCGTTTAAATCGCAATCCAACGATACTCGCGGTGCAAGCGTCTAATTTTCCTAGCAATCTGCTCCAGCTGCGAAACTTGGCTCGGAGAGCTAGAGGAACTGTAACCGAGCGGCGTTTGAGGATAGTCGGATCGGAAGGGAAGAAAAGAGGATGCCCGGTAGGCGCGTCCGGAGGAAGCATCGACAAAGAAGTGCCGAAGCGACAGGTTGCTCCTCGAGACGGTGCGCTCTGTTCTCGAGGTCCTGTTCGATTCCTACTCCTTCTCGCCGGCCGCGTATCCTACCCAGCACGGCCGCCACCACCGGCGTTCAGTCGTGCCACCACCACCGAGCACCTTTTGTCCACCACCACTTGGTCCGGCTACCACCTCCTTGTTCGCAGGCAGCGCGGGGCACCTCGCCATGTGACTGATTCCCCTTCTCCGCAGGTTGACGAGCGGTGGGCCTGCCTACCTGCGCCCGTTGCCCCGCTCCCATTACGACGCGGACTCTCGCGGCAGGTGCACCAACCTAAGTGCCACTCCGCTTACCTGTGTGTCGTGCCTACCAAGCCAGCGTGTCCGGTGGTCAGGTTCTTCCCTCTCTCTTTCTCTCTTTCTCTCTTTCTCCCTTCTTTTTCCCTCTTTTTTTCCCTCCTCTCTCTTCCTCACCCTTTCTCTCTGTACAAGCCTCCTCTTCTCAGCCCCCCAAGCCCGGCTTCGTCCTTCTCCCTCTGTCTCCGTCTGTCCCCTTCGACGTCGCCTCACGCAGCAGTGCGGTGTTGTAGTGTCGTGTCATCCTGCGCTACGTCAACGATCCTCCCGAACGTGTGGAGGCAACGATCGATCGCTCGCGTATCTCCTCTCTGACTATCCGTGGCAACCGGGGTCGTGTGGAAGGTGACCCGGCCAGACCGCGAGTCCGGGCCCAGGACACCGAGGCGACAGGCGTGTGCGAGCTCTGCCAAGCTCTGTCAGGTGTTCCGGTCGAGGCTGTGCGAGCACCGAGCAGCCAAGGAGAGGCGAAGGAAGGACGACGGTCATCAGCTCGGTTCCGCGTCCATCGGCCGCGGGGCGGTGTGTAAACAATCGTGGAAACTGGAAACTGGCCGCGTTCCGGGAAGCGGCGAGGTGCGCTCGAGAGGTGTTGGCCACGCGACAGAGAGAGAGCTCCGTGGCCGCGTCAGTCGAGGATCGGACGACAATCGTCGACGATCGCCTACGCGTGAGATCGCGCAGTTCTCACTTCGCGAGTGTTCAGTGTTACGTCGTCGGGGTTCGCGGATCGCCTGCCGGTCGGTCCTCAGAGCAGTCCGGGTGGAAGACTCGACTCGGCTGACCCGAGAGTGTGACCGCTAGAGAGGAAGAGGGGACACAGTGAAGGTGTCAAACGTCCGCGACTCCTCATTGACATTTCCGTGACATTTAGTGCGCACGCCAGGCCACACGGCATCGAGGCGACGCTTGCTTTTTCGTGTAACACGCGTGAGAGAGACCGCCGTCGAGGCACGGCCGCGACACTGCCCCCGGGGAGAAAGTCGGCAAGGCCAGGGCGAGTTAATATCGCGCCCGATGACGGATCATCCGTGCCTTATCGCCGCCTACCTCTTATCTACGCTTATCTGCCTCTCGGAATCGCGAGCTGGACGTGCAGCGCCGCGATAGACCGGGCTCGACAACCTTTTGCATTCGCTGCCGATCCGTGCTGGGCCGAGCGATCGTGCCGGAGGCATGATCCTTGTCGGACTTGTGCGTTCGCGCGTGCTGCAGATTTGACGTTCAACAGGTGGTCGTGTCGCTTTGGTGGACGGGCTGGAAGGGGTTGCAGCCTGGCGCGAAGGTCGCTCGAGAGTAACTCGCGCGTGGCTATAGACTGCCGAGGGATCGAGCCGAGTCGCGGAAAGGGGGTTGATCGTTGAACGGGACGGAAGTTGCGAGCGTCGGGACTCAAACTGGACATACTCACCGCCACGTCGGGACGTACGGAGTGGAGATGTCCGCGGGTCGCTGAGAGAATGAGGGAGCTGGACACCGAGAGCCCTGTTGTCTGGCCGGCCTGGTGTTACACTGGTGAGTCCATTGTTAATGTTTCTTGCTGGAATACCCCGCCACCATTCGCGACGGAGAAGGATGGTAATCGAGCGAAATTGTCTCGGACTAGTCGACCATCGAGAGGGTGTCTTAACTTTTTGCTGAAAAAATACAATATCTATCGAGGTGACGTGTGATTGTCTATCGACGAGTTAGGTACCGAACTCTCGCGTGACCACGGAGATCTCGTTGCTCAGGGATGAACGATTGTCTGAAATACGCGTCTACTTGTTCTTTCGTAAGAATATTCAGAGAGTGAAAAAGTTATTGACTATACTTGACCGACGAAGTGCAGTTTTTCTGTGAATACTTGATAGACTTTTAAATTAAAGCGGAATCTCGCAGGCTTTTTGCGTTATTGGCATTTTTACTGCCGATATTTATGGAGCGGATAAGTTAATAGCTTGTTTATCACTACCGGTTCATGGAATGAATTACGACGATTTCAACCTGATTCCAGATCGAAACGTGACTATTCGGCGTTTAAATCCTCGTTGAGGAATAGTATCGGTGAAAACGTCGAACGTGACGCGTGAGGACGAGCTTCGAGTCTTCTTCTCGAATGTTTGCATTCTTTTCCCGACATTGTTGACGTTTCTTGTTGATCCAGCCTGGCCTGTGATCGATAGATCGGACGATCGGCTTCCCGAAGCGCCTCGAGCCGAAAATATTTATCCTAGGGTAAAGTTAGGTGTTTCGCGTCGTTGCCATTCATCGCGAGGCCCCATTCAGAACAATGCTTTCCATTGATTACGATAATTGTCCGACACGATGGCGAGTAAACCGAAGAGGTGTTCGACGCTCGCGATGTTCGCAAATTATATGTCACTGTTTGTGATTTCCTAAGTGAAAATGACGTTTTATAGGCGTAACGATGATACGCCACTGTGTGGCGATTTTCTCGTTTTGCGTCGTTCCGATATCGCAATCGTTGTATCGATTTCGATACTACAATAGCTATTGCTGTCGATTTTTATTACGCTATGCAACAGATAGGATGATACTTCTGCGTTGCGAAGGAACGCGTTGGAGAGAATGATGTTTATTGGTATGTTTCGAGGGGAGTTTTAATTTCAAAGGATGCTTCTGGGCAACAGGGATTTTATTTTTGGTTGTAACGATCGTTTACGTTAATTGGAGAATTTTTCTGCAAACCTTTGTCGAGAAATTTTCATTAATATTTTGTATTTCGAATGATAAGGTTTATATATATATTTTTATTCGGTGTTTAATCGAATAATAAATTTTCTGTATTTTTATGAGATATTTTTATATAATTAAAGTACCGACACTTTCTACAGACATTCAATTCTGTCAATAAATAGTTTGAGAATTATTGCAATAATTAATTTTCATCGAATAATAAGCCTGTAAATTTAAAAGCAGATGTGTGCACAGAGTTGAAGCAAATAAAAATAATTCTTGCACATTTTCACTGTCTTCTACGAATTCCTTGTAAATTCTTATCGACAAGCTTTGGTTTACAATATTTCGCCAAACAGTGAACCTCTTATATCGGAAAACAGTATACATCTCGTATTTCTATTTCTAAAATTTTACTTTCCAAGTAAACTTCCCAAATTTCTTCAAAATTGCTCTCATCCCCTGTAACTCCCAAAGAAATTGCAATAGATTATACTCCATTTAAGGATAATGTCTGGTCTAGACGTCTAAGAAACCGTCATTCTTCAGAATTTTCTTTGTATCACAATAAACTAGGTAATAATCTCTTCTTTTCATCATTTCATGATACGTGTTTTGAACTTATAAAACGTGACATAATTTCGGATTTTATTTGAATATTAAGTATGTGCCGCTTTTCTTAGTAATCCTCGACAAATCCCTGTCAAACAGTACGACGTCTAGGTCCCCAATTCTGAACATAAAATAAAGGAATCGAGTACATATTTTATTAAGATTATAGGTTTATAATTGTAAAATAACTACGATATATATAATTAATTCTTTTTTAAATTCTTTTATTACTGAAGGAAGGTATATCTGTGAATGTTTCCCTGGAGCGATTGACCAACTCGTGAGAGATTGTCAAGAGGGTACGCGACGCAGTTCGCCTAAACCCCCAATTCTTATTTAATGTTTATCACAACATTCGTTCTTCGGAATTATAAACTATTTACTCACGCCTTATATTCTACATCGTTCTTTGCATATAGTAAAGCTATTATTTTCAATATATTTAAATCAAACTAAATCAAATCCCGATAAAGACGTCTAAATATTGGTAGACACGGATAATAGTACAAACAGCGACAATCTTAATCCATTGTTGGAACATTAATGTCTGAAATACCAACAACCCACGTAGTTGCCCAATTCCGCAGACACTGACAATTGTGCCTGTGATTAATAAAGTGGTCTAAGTCACTTATATTTGCTTCTGAAATATTAAAAGCTTCGGGCTTTAAATACGTGATGAATTATAAAATTAACCCTTTGCACTCGACGACTTTTGGCTAAAGAAGGATAGAAATTCAAAGATTCTCTTCTAAAAAACTGACGATACTTTTCTGAACAGTAAATAAAGAATTGTAGAATTATTCGATTTCGATACCTTGCACACTGTTACATTGCATTAAATTTGATATATTAATTAACCCTTTGCACTCGACGACTTTTGGTTAAAGAAGAATAGAAATTCAAAGATTCTCTACTAAAAAACTGACGATACTTTTCTGAGCAGTAAATAAAGAATTGTAGAATTATTCGATTTCGATACCTTGCACACTGTTACATTGCAATAAATTTGATATATTAATTAATATCGATCTTCCAAATTTCATGAAATGGTGACTGAAGCTCACCTCTCGAATGCAAAGGATTAATTGCGATGAAGCTACAAACTCAATCTAACGATTCAATTCTTCCCTGTTTTGTATTAAAGAAAATAAATATATTTTATCTTAATATAAAGGAATGCAACGTGAAATAAATAATAAAATCGTTTCTCTTAAGTCGATGACTTAGACCACTTTCATAATTATAGGCACAATTGTGACAGCGGCGAAAAATTATTTCGAGGTCGCGAATCGTGTCTCATGGTCGACGCTGACTGGCCTAATCAGCCGTACGTGTTGATAGCGGACAAAATTCTATCGTTGTAACTGGATGCCATTCGCGGTGACGGCTTGCGCCAAGTTATGAAACACATGTGTGCCAAAGTAGGCGTCACTCTTCGTTGCTGGAATTCGTACTCGATATTCCGTCGACTCGCTCGCCACTGACGTCTACACGGGAAAACAAACACGATGGTCGATAAGAAACCACGAATTACGTTTTAAGATCGCACGGAATTACGTAATGGGACGATAACGAGGTTCGGTGACTATTCCAGTGGAGGCGTTAGGTCGCTCAAAGATTGGCTGACCGAAAATTCCGAGCTGAAATTGGTCACTTGGTCCTCGAGTCTTTGAATTTAGAGCGAGAGTTTGCGTTGAGTTAGATGAAAGATATTTCGTTTGAAATACGTGCTTAGGATAGTCATTGATTCTATCGAGTCGTTAAAATTGGAAATTTTTAAGTTTTAACTTGTTCGTAAGGATTTAGTACGAATTCTATTAGGGTGCTTCTGAGAAATCATTGTTAATCATTTCTTTGTTGTCAAGAATGGAATATATCGTTGAAAATCAATATTGGTGTCTTCTGTATTTATTTATTGTATTTTCGGTATATTCGGTATTTATCTATTTATTCTGAATTTGGATTTAACAATGATGCATTTTTGAGACTCCAAAGTGTATATAATTTTTAGAGTCCATTGTCTTCTCGTCTTTCAGTCATATTTTAATTTACATATGCTTCGTTTCTTATGGAGATAGGTCTCATAGTTCCAAGATTTTCTTCATCTTCCAGTTATGTACTCGGTTCCTATATCTAGCTTCGACTTATTACACACCTTCAGCAAAGAGAACCAAACCTCTATGGACATTTCGTTTATCAAACTCAGATTCGATAGAGATTTCAGAATAATTTCAATCCTGTCTTTCAATTACTTTCTCACCTCAATATATCCACTTCTTATTCCTATTTTTAAATTATCATTTATTTCTATTAAAAGAAAATCTAAAAAAGAGAAATATTAAAATATTTATAAAATAAAATTTATTAGACTCATATTTGATAAATACATATTATCTACGATCCTAAAATTTGCGTTCAATTTCGTAGTTTCAGTTGACTTTTCATCGTCCAATTAAGTATTTTCTATTTCACACATGTTTCCATTTCCCATCCCTATTTTAAACTCATTTAATTGTTCTTCGCTATTCACAATTATAACATAAATCTTGATCGACTTTCCATCTTCCAACTACGTACTTCCTAATCCAAACAGCTTCAAACAGCTGCATACCCATCCCCATCCTCGACTCATCAAACTCCTTTCATCAAACTTAGACCTAATAACAGCACATTACTCGCAATCTCAAAACACATACTAAATCTCCCAGTTTCAATTAACTTCTCATCCTCCAGTCACGTGCTTACCTACTCTAAACAGTTTCAAACAAAGGAAGAAACAAACCTCTGTGAACCATTACTTATTTTCTTCATCAAACTTAGACTTATAATATCTGCACGTCACTAGAAATCTCAGAACACAAGTTAAATATCCCAATCTCGATTAACTTCTCATCTTCCAGTCACGTATGTATTGTATTTACCTAACTCGAACAACTTCATCTGCCTCCCCCCGACCTACCACCCAGCTTCGCTAAGGAAAAGCACAAGCCTGTCCTAAAATTCCAACAAAATTCTTTCTCTGCCCACAGAGACCTTTCGATATTCCTCCACTTCCCTAAACAAAACACGTAACTCTGCCAAGACCCCATTACCTCTCTCGAACACGAACTTTATCTTGCCCTATCACCATCGCTATGGAAGTTCAGCCAGCGCGGAGCAGCCTGACGATATTTTCGGTGCCCTTACACCATAAAACGGATCCCTGAGCATCTTAAAAGGGT